CTATACAGCCACTGTGTTTGCAAGGTGCTTTAAGATCCTCTGCAAGAAGTCCAAGCGTGACTGCCATCACCACACTCCCCTCCTGGACCTTCCCCAGGACGGTGCACGCACAGACTGGCGCGTCGTTACTCGGAAAATCCACCAACGGGCCCACAGCTCCAGAAAGGACAAAGTCAGACCAAAGAAGGAAATGCAGGAGTTTGCCCTTTTGTAAAATCCTGGGCAAGGCTTTGAAGCTCATCTCTCCAGGATCTTGAGAACTGACGGGAGAGAGGATAATCCCACGCTACCGCCACCCTTGGGCAGCCGGCCCATGCGCTGTGACACTGATCTTAGGTATAGGTCCTTCTTTTTTTTTTCTTAAGATTTTACTTATTCATTCATGAGAGACACACAGAGAGAGGCAGGCTCCCTGCGGGGAGCCCCATGTGGGACTCGACCCCATGGGCCCCGAGATCACGCCCTGGGCTGAAGGCAGATGCTCCACCACTGAGCCCCCCGGGGGTCCCAGGTATAGGTAGTTCTGCAATTTAATATATCTGTTGATCTATTGCTCACTCCATGCAGGCAGGGCCAGGACTTCTGCTGCCTTTTCCTCCTCCACCTTGATTGGGTCCAATGAGGATGGCTCAATCTGCAAGAAACACCGGCCGGTGCTTGTGGGCCTCCCAGTCCGGGAGGGCCCCTTGTACTTGAAGGGCCTGGCTGAAGGAAAGGTGTTTCTTATGGTAGGAGGTAAGAAAAGCCTGGAGAGGGATCCCTGGGTGGCGCAGCGGTTTGGCGCCTGCCTGTGGCCCAGGGCGCGATCCTGGAGACCTGGGATCGAATTCCATGTCGGGCTCCCGGTGCATGGAGCCTGCTTCTCCCTCTGCCTGTGTCTCTGCCTCTCTCTCTCTCTCACTGTGTGCCTATCATAAATAAATAAAAAAAAAAAAAAAAGAAAAGCCTGGAGAAACTCTTCCTTTTCTGGATAAGAGGCTTGATCTTATTCCTAGATGGGAGTTGTTTCAGCAATCCTGGGACTTTATTTTTTTTTTAAAGGCATTTTTTATTTATTTATGATAGTCACAGAGAGAGAGAGAGAGAGGCAGAGACACAGGCAGAGGGAGAAGCAGGCTCCATGCACCGGGAGCCCGACGTGGGATTTGATCCCGGGTCTCCAGGATCGCGCCCTGGGCCAAAGGCAGGCGCCAAACCGCTGCGCCACCCAGAGATCCCAATCCTGGGACTTTAAAGGAAGCCTGTGAGGGTCTGAGCCCCTGACACCTGTCCGGGCTGGGAGATGTGGCAGCTGCATGCACAGGGGACTCAGGGTAAGGGGTGACCAGCTGCCCAGCGCCCCTCCAGGACCTGCCCCCAACTAACTGCTATGGGCAGCAGGAGGCTGTGGTACCTCCTCTCAGGGAACAGTCTGGAGCCCACGTGAGCAGGAGCAGGTTACACCGGGCGGGCACACCCACACTTTAAGCATACACAATCACAGTAAAGTAGCTCCGTAGGAACAATGCCGCTCAGCCCTGGGCGATAAGGGACAGCAGCCCTCGGTTCCCCTTTGACTTAGAAACACAGTGAATGAACTACAAAACCCCCTGCAAACTAGAAGATTTTATCTCCCTGAGGCTCTCACTTCCTTGCTCTTCCCATTCCTGGGAACATCATCTTCCTCCAAGCCCTGGTCCGCAGGTCCCGGAGGGCAGAGCTTCTTGCTCGGGGCAGGGCAAGGCCGTGGGGATGGAAATGGCTGGAGGGCCTGGTTCTGCTCCCCACCCTGGGCCTGGGGCTCCTGTTCTGCTCACAGCACTGGGGTTCTGGGCTGTTCCGGAGTCCCCGAGGGCGCCGGAGGCTCTATCCCGGGGGAGGCAGCACCCGGGCAGGGTGTGAGCCTCTGTCCTCTGCCGTTGCCTGCAGCAGGAACCCAGGAAGGGCTGGGAACTGGGTGAAGGGGCCATCCCCATCGCGGACTGCTCCAGGGGTGGCTTCCCGTCGCCTGAGCCCGCACCTGTCATACTGAAGCTTGGCGGCCCCAGAGGAGGCACCCACTCTTCCGCACTGCTGCTTTGGGAGGTGGGCTAGGGCGTTCTCCCTGGGTGCTAGGGAAGGCCGGAGGAGCCGCGGAAGGAAGGGTCGCAGCTGAGTGGCTGGGACATGGAGGGCCACGGCCAGGGCTGGCGGGGCCTGTGCGGTCTCACTTTATCCCCCACAACGCCCCTGCGGATGAGGCCCCCTGTCCAAGCCGAAGCTGAAGCCCACACGGCCTGCGTGTCCAGGCCAAGGGCTCAGCTAGTAAAGGGGGTGGGGGGGCAAGGTCAGAGCTGGGGCCCAAACCTGTCCCTCACCCCTCCCCTGGCCACCAGCACAGGCCCATGTAGGGCTGCACCCCTGCCCCCCAGCTGTGCCCTGGCTCCCTCCTTGGCGGGGGGCCAAGGTCCCAGGGCTGTCTGAGCCCTGGGCTCGCATCTGCACCCTCCCACCTGCCCCCCCTGCGCCCCGACCTGCAGCGGCAGCGGAGGGCCCCCCAGGCGGGGGCGGGGAGGTGGGGGCGGGGCGCTGGGGGGCGGGAGGTCCGCGCGCAGAGCCTGCCGCCGCCGGCCGCCGGGTCTGGGGGGGCAGCCCGCGGGGCTCCGGCCGTGACATCAGCCGCTGTGGTGCAGTGTGCAAAGCCCACTGGTTGGCGTGGCCCGGACACGCCTTCCCCGGAGCGGAACAAAACGGGCGCGGGCCGGGCGCACCCAGTCTCCGCTTCCGAGAGCGCTGCCTCCGCCCGCGCCGCCAGCAGCCAGGTGAGTGCGCCCCGGGCCGCGCGGCCAGCAGCCAGGTGAGCCCCCCCATCCCGGGGGCGCGCGGCCAGCAGCCAGGTGAGCCCCCCCATCCCGGGGCCGCGCGGCCAGCAGCCAGGTGAGCCCCCCCATCCCGGGGGCGCGCGGCCAGCAGCCAGGTGAGCCCCCCCATCCCGGGGCCGCGCGGCCAGCAGCCAGGTGAGCCCCCCCATCCCGGGGCCGCGCGGCCAGCAGCCAGGTGAGCCCCCCCATCCCGGGGGCGCGCGGCCAGCAGCCAGGTGAGCCCCCCCATCCCGGGGGCGCGCGGTCAGCAGCCAGGTGAGCCCCCCCATCCCGGGGGCGCGCGGCCAGCAGCCAGGTGAGCCCCCCCATCCCGGGGCCGCGCGGCCAGCAGCCAGGTGAGCCCCCCCATCCCGGGGGCGCGCGGCCAGCAGCCAGGTGAGCCCCCCCCATCCCGGGGCCGCGCGGCCAGCAGCCAGGTGAGCCCCCCCATCCCGGGGCCGCGCGGCCAGCAGCCAGGTGAGCCCCCCCATCCCGGGGGCGCGCGGCCAGCAGCCAGGTGAGCCCCCCCATCCCGGGGGCGCGCGGTCAGCAGCCAGGTGAGTCCCCCCATCCCGGGGGCGCGCGGTCAGCGGCCAGCAGCCAGGTGAGCCCCCCCATCCCGGGGCCGCGCGGCCAGCAGCCAGGTGAGCCCCCCCATCCCGGGGGCGCGCGGCCAGCAGCCAGGTGAGCCCCCCCATCCCCGGAATCACGCGGCCAGCAGCCAGGTGAGCGCCCCCCGCCCGCGCTGCACCCTTGGCGCCGCCCCCCACCGGGTCCCGCCGGGCTGGGGCGCTGCAGGCAGCGGGTCGAGGGCCCGGGTATCCGGAGCAGCGCCCCCCTTTCAGGCGTCTGGGGGCTTGCCGGGGCGTCCTGGCACGAACTGGTGCTGCGCGCCTGCCCAGCTGCCCCGGCCCCCGCCGCCCGCAGGTCTGGCAGCAGAACAATCGGGAGTCTGCGGCCACTGACGCTCATTGTGCGGCGGGGGATGAGGGCATCCTGCCCCCCTGCCCCGGGGGAGCACGGCCCGCGGGTGGGCCGGGGGCCTTCTGTGCCAGAGCACAGGTGTCAGTCACTCTTCCTCGGGAACCAGATGGAAGCCGCGACCTCTCGCGGCCCCTGCCCCAGCCTTGGCGCTAGGCAGGTGCTGGGTGGGGAGGACCATGCCCACCACAGCGCCTTGCGGCCCAGCACCTGAGGGCTGGGGGGGGGGGGGGTAGGAAAGAGCTGGTGTTGGGCAGATTTAAAACAAGCTGCGGTAGGTTAGCTCACGAGCAACCCCCCAAGCAGGTGCATCCACCCTGGGTGTGGGTGTGGGGGGGCATCCTGCACCCCTGTCCCTGTGCCGTCCTAAGTAACCAGGACCTGGGACTAGCCTCCTGGGCTCCAGCCTCCCACCCTGTGCTCCGAGGGGTGGGGGAGGCATGAACAGGCCGGGCCTTCCCTCCCTGAGGGCTCTGCATGGGGATCCAGTCGCAGGCGCCCCAGGACATCCACTGGGCTGTGCCAGGTGTGGCGTGAAGAGGTTGCTGGGAAGGCCGGCTGGCTCACCCTGACAGTGGGATCTGCCACTTAATATACCCGTCACCTTGGACAAGTGATGTAACAACTCCGTTTCTTTGGAGGATGGCGCTTTGGGGACGTAAGGCACAGACCTGGAACACAGTAGGGTTCGTGGCGGTCTCCCTTGCGTCCCCTTCCCTTCCCAGAAGTCGAGGAGGCTGCACAGGCTGGCGGTGTCTCAGGCACCTGACAGTGCAGCATGGGGATGCCCCCTGGGACCTGGGGGCAGAGGGCCGGAGCTGCCCAGCTCTCCTTCATGCGCGCTCCTGACCCAGCCAGGCTCCGACTCAGGGGCCCAGATCACCTCCTTCAAGAGTCACAGTCCTCAGCCCTCTGCTGCCCCCAGGCAGCTGTCATCCCCTGGTTGCCGAGTGCAGCCTTGCACTGCTCTCTGCGTCCCGGGGAATGACCCCTTGGCTCAGGGAGGATATCCGGGGTGGGGACAGCTAGACCAGGAAGGAAGTTTATCCCACAGAGGGTGTGGTGCGGGCCGCCGAGGGGGAGGGGACTCTGTAGGGAAAGGAGGGTCTGGGGGACGGGATGCAGGGGCGAAGCCGAGGAACAGGTTCAGCAGCTCTCCCCTGGGCTGCTAATAGTGTGGAGATGGGGCTGCCTCAGCCTCGGCCTCTGCTGTGCCCCGAGCTCTTCCCAGCAGCGCTTCCTCTTGGAGCTGGAAACATCTGCCTCTGGAGCCCTGAGTCCTCACGGGGACAGAGGGAGCCTGGAGGGCAGCACTGACACTTGCAGGGGCTCAGCACACTTGGGACGAGGGGGGTAGACACAGGCTTTCAGCTGAGTCGCCCTACTGGACGCTCACAAACCTTGCAAATAGTTTCTAGCCAGGTCTTCCCTGTGACTAGTCCTGACAACCAGGTGGCGGGCAGAGGACAGTTTTTACTTACTGGATCTCCTGGTGGGGAAAGCAAACCCGGAAGGCGTGTTGGGTTGGGCTGCCCAAGTTTTAAATGTTTATGCAAACCCGGCTTATGTGGGTTGGCTTGAGGGGCTGAAGAGTCTTACCTTACACATTCTGAGGTGCCAGGGAGAACTTCTAAACCACGAGTTGCCCGGGAGAGCAAAAGGACGTTTCGTGCAAGCCAACCACCGGCCGCTACTTGGGCGCACTGGCAAGCACCTAGAGTCACAAAACTGAACAGTAAGTACTAGAGTCGGCCTTCCCCTAAGGTGACAGTGGGCAGATGCTGCACTTGCCGCGCACCAGGGCTTGGCCTCAGTCCTTGAACAATCTATGAACACTCCGATGCTTCCCATTGTACAGATGAAGAAACTGAGGCTCAGAGGTGATAACTTGCCCAGGATTGCAGCTGGCCAGTTGGGGAGGCACCATTCAAACCAAGGCCAACTCCTTCCAAACCCGCGCTCGGTCACTATGCTAGTTCTTCTCTTTGCTCCTGAACATTTCTGATTCCTAGATTCAGTTAATTTTTTTTTTTTTAAGATTTTATTTGAGAGAGAGAGAGAGAAAGAGACAGCACAAGTAGGAGGGGCAGAGGGAGAAGCAGACTCCCGCTGAGCAGGGAGCCTGATGTGGGGCTGGAGCCCAGGACCAACGAGCCCCCAGGCCCCCCTGGATCGCTTTACTAAGGAAATAGCTGCCAGTTGCAGGATACGTGAGCTCTGCTAAGTGCTTTGCTGTGGCTTATAAAGTACTTAAGGGAGATGCGGCCTTGCCATTGTGAACTCATGACCTCCAGGCTTCCACCCTCTGCGGCCCAGGGAGGAGAGGGCTCCCCAGGATGTTGGGCCCCAGATCCTGGTGGATGTGCTTTCACCAGGTCTGATGTGTGTTTGAATTTCCAGGCCAGGTTTGCAGGAAAGAAAAGCCTGGAAAAGAGACTGAGAAAAAGGCACCCCCGCTTCACAGAGAGCAGCTAGCTGTGGGTAGGGAGGACGGGGAGAGGGGCGCCGGGTACCAGAGGCTTTGCTGTGGTTTCCAGTTGTCAGGAATTTCTTTGGTAATGACGTGGCCGCGGTACGCAGCTCCTCAGGAATTTGTCTGACGTCGGCATCGAGTAATTCCCATGTATGGTAAAGTGTGTAAATACGGAGGCAGTTAGCATTTCCAGACTCTGGCACTTCCAGGGCCTCCCCAGGGCCAGCAGGCAGCGTCTGACTCCTCCTGACTCCTCCGCAGTGACAAAGGAGGGAGAGATAGAAGGTCTGCCCTGGAGCACAGGCTCAGCCCCCCCCCCCCCCCAGGCAACCAGCCCCTCCCTCTCCATGGGCCTGTCTGGGGCTCTCCGCTTGGGGATCGCGGGGGATGGAGCTTCCTGTGAAGTCAGCTGCAAAAAAAAAAAAGCCCTGTTTTTATAAGGTCTAAGTGCAAATTTGCTTTTGCTTTTTAAAACTCAATCCAAGAAAAATCAGCCAGACCTTTCAGCATGGGACAACCAGGTGTTGCCACTCTACGTTGACATCATTCCAGAAAAAGAAAACCCCAAGAAACTTGGTCTGTTGATTAGCCTGTGAGACCTTATTATAATAAAGGATTTCTTGCAATAGTTTTGAAATATTTAAAAAAAATAAAATCATAGACCACCCCCCCCCAACTTTGTTGACTTTCAGGTTCCTGAATTCCCAAGGGTGGAGCTCTCTGCCCTAAACGGCACCAGGAGCCAAGCAGGAAGAGACGGCTCTGTCCTTGTCAGCTCACAGTCACGCAAGGGCCACAGACATAGACGTGGGGAGAGAGCTGGGCTGGAGTGACAGTCACATTCTGGGGCGCCGCGGGGCCTGCGGTGACCGTAGCTTCTCGGACGGGCCAGCCGTGTGCAGACTGAGGGAACCGGGCAGGGGGCTGCGGGAAGCTGGGGACAAATCGGCGTTCACCGGCCATTCAGCCCCTTCCTGGTCACCGTTGCTTTCAGGGGAATCTGTGTCACCCACCCCTGAGACATGGGCTCTGAACCCTGACCAGCAGGGCCCTCCTCCAGGGCCATGGAGGACGGGGCTGAGCTGCAGGCTTGGGTGGGATGACAGCTGTCCTGTGGACCTGGCCAAGTACCGCACAGCTCAGGTAACGTGAGCAGCACATTCCTAAGCAGACAAACACCTGACAGGTCTCTACCAGACCAAGTAGGTGCAGACCCAAGCCCTGCGCCCAGAAGTCACGCTTTGGCCCTAGGGAATAAGAGATTTTGGAATGGGAGAGATGGGAATTTCCACTGGAGAACTAAAGACGTGGAATGGCTCGTCAATCAGGGGTTCCAGGCGCCTGCGGCCCGTAGTTAGGATTGTACATCTCTGAAACGGCGTCTTGGACCTGGAACAGGACCACGCGGAACCCATCTCCCGTCTCGACGTCATGACAGCTGTGAACACGAGGCGCTGTGCCTTTCTCTCCCGCTCTGCGAGCTGCCATCTCGACTCCTTCTCAAGACGGAGGATCTGGATGCGGTCCTCAGCAGGACAATTAGATGGGCAGGTACAGACGGCTTATCGGAAGAAGCTAATCCTTGGTTTCTGGCTTCCAGCAGGCCCCAAGGATCCTGACTTTTGGGGGGAAAGATTTTATTTGTATATTTATTTTAGTGGGGTGAAGGTGGGAGAGGGATACAATCTCAAGCAGATTCTCCTGGTGGGGGGGGTGCTCAATCTCACCTCCCTGAGATCATGACCTGAGCTGAAACCAAGAGTCAGACGCCTAACCAACTGAGCCACCCGGGCGCCCAGGATCCTGACATTTTCGGTAAATAGCTGACCAGATATTTATAGCCTTTCAGCAGAAGAGTCAGGCCCTATTCTCTTTTGAAGAGCCCCACATAGTGAGGCGGGCCGAACCAGAACACGGACAGCAGTTGCCCGTGGGAGTCCGTGGGAACGTAAGTCTCCGAAACCCACCAGATGGATAAACGTGATTACAGAAGACAGCGAGGCTTCTTGAACACCCAGAACAATACACAGAAGAGCTTGATGTAAAGACACAAGCCTCTGCTTGCATCTCACGTCGCCGGGGGGAACTAAATCCCAAACAAGGGCAAGCGAGTCACTGTCTCCTTTGTTGGGCTGACGCATGAGTCAGGAATTCGTGGTCCCTATTTGGCATGTTTCTCAAGCCTTGCTCCTTCCAGATGTGGACTAGCTGGGAAGGACGGTCGACATCTGGCCCCACAGCTGGTGTTGAGCGTCCCTGGCACCCTGCCGTCCCCTCTCTGCGTCCTCACTGCCTCCCCGGAGTGACGATTTTAGGGAGCCAGAGTCACTGTCCGACTTCAAGATGAGCAAATCGAAGTGCACAGAGGAAAGTAAATTGCCCAGGATCAAAGTTGAGCCAGACACGGATGAATCCAGACCCACCCTCTTAACCGCTGCACTCTCCCACCCGAACTCAGGTCTGGAGAACTTTCCTCCTGAGTCTCCCACAGGGCGCCGGGCAGCCAGAACGTGAGAAGAAGCCAGGTGTCCCTCTAAGTACTCCAGAAACTCTGAGAAGCCGGTTTCCTTTTAAGGCGATCAGCGTCCTGATGAGATGGCTAGAATTGCTCTTGGGGGGGGGGGGGGTGAAGAGCGCTCCCTGGCCCTTCTAGGGGAGGAGGCGGCCAGGGCTCCGGCCAGCTGACAGCCCCCCCCTTCCCCGCAGGCAGGGCCCCTAGGGTCGTCGTGTGGGCAGAGGCAGTGGGGAGCCCACCCTCGTGGACGCCTGGGACCCTCCCCATCAGGGCCCAGTCACTGTTTTTTACCCCAAGGTCCTGGGCTCCTGAGGGGCGCCCCCAGGTGAACGGCACAGCCCAGGGACATCCCAGCAGACTCCTCACTGGCAGGTCCTCAGGTTTCACCCCTTCTCCGCCCGCGTCCCTGTTTCCCTGGGGCCCTGCTGGACGTGGGCCCCTGACACGGAGCCAGGGAGAACAAGGAGCGGCCTGTATGGAGCTTGGGTCTCCCCGGGGGGAGGACGCCTTTGTATCCAGGGACAAAACGCTGGCTCTGACCGCGGTTAGGGAGCTTTCCTCCCGGGGGGGCATTCCTGGGGGCGCGGAGTGTGTCCCCGGCTATTCATGGGGGCGGGAAGGGAGGAGGGATCCAGGCGTTGGTGTACGGTGTGCCCGCTGTGTGCCAGGCACCCTTCTCTACCAGGGGGCCCAGAAGTGGCTCAACCGCGTTGGAATCCCAGGCCTGTCACCCCCACTGCTGCAGGCCGGTGCCTAACCTCTGAGCCTCCATCTCCTTACCCGGAGGGCGGGCCTGCAGTCCCCACCTCCCGGTGCGGAGGAGTGAGCCGCCGCGGGCAACCTGGCACACAGCAGGCATGCAGGTCGGGGGATGCCCGCGGCAGGAGGTCGGGGTGACGCCCGCTCACCCCTCAGAGGCAGAGGAGAACCCCTGTGGCTCCATATGAACACGCAGACTTTTCCAGAAGCTTCCCAAACAGAGCAGGGCAATGGGATGGCCGTGACCAGCCAGGTGACCGGGCTGTGCCCGAGTCACTCCGTGGAGGGGTGGCTGCCCGAGTGGAACTGGGGCGGTGCCACACCAAGTGTGGGACGGCTGACGTTCACACGCCGCTGCTCGCTCCTGCGTGGTTTTGCAGCCCTGAGCTCTTGCTCGACCAGGCAGCCGGCCCCGGCATCTCCGGGGCAGCGTGGGGCTGACGGAATGGACGGCGGGGGTCAGGGGTCGGGACTGGGGCCTGTCCTCCGGCATCTGGGAGCTCAGGGGTGGTTAGAGAAATCTGTCCTACCTGCCGGCCTTACACAGTGGCCCACAACGCGGTGGGCCCGGCCTCGGCCCCGCCTCCCCCAGCCTCGCCCAGCCCTGAGCACAGGCCCGCGGAGCCTGCCCAGGGCATTCTGGGAGCGGACGCAGCGATGAGCTTAGATCACCACCGGTGACCTACAGCTGGAGCAGCAAGTGGAGACCTGCACGAGAGAGTCCGAGGTGACCGAGGTGACGGGTGGGACCGTCCTCGGCAGCAGGGAGTCACCGATGGTTCTTGGGCAGGGAAACCGTCCCCAGAAAAGACCTGGCACCTGCGTGGGGGTGGAACAGGAAGGAGATCCCAGAAGCGGCAGGACAGAATTGCCGTCTCTCTAGGGATGCATCCAGTTGTAAAGTAACTGGCTTAAGCCATAGTGGGAATTTGTTGGTTTGTTTAACTGGAAAATTTGGAGATAGACTGAACTTTTAGGTTTGGCTGAATTTGGTGGCTGAGTGGTGTCACTGCGGACTTGGTTTCCTTTGTCTCTCAAGTGTGTCTTCCCTGCCGCCCACTTCGTCCTGGGACTGCTTGCTTCCCTCGGGACAGCAGAGCCCTCTCCTCCCTGGGGAAGAGGGACTTGCTTCCAGGAAGTTCTCTCAAAGGGTTGGGATGCTTTTTCCTCCCAAGCCCCCAGACCTGCCTTCTCTTATTTTATGGGCCTGGAACGCACAGCTGGCCCGTCTTGGAGCCGGTAACCGTGGCTGCTCCGGTTAGGCCCAGGCCGCGTGCCGCGGCTGAAGACCGGGGTAGCTGCCCAGGACCAGATGCACGGGGCGTGGTGTCCGCTTCAAGGGGGCCCGGCATGGGATGGGAGAGGTGACTCGGCTGGGTTAGGGTAGTGGGAAGAAGACTAGAGAGGAGGGAGGGTCTAAAAGCGCTCAGCGCGGGTTTTGGGGGTGAGTGGGTAAAGGGGAACACAGGGCGGGGTGCAGCTACCTCCCCCCTTGGGAGGAGCCCGTCAACCTTCTCAGGAGTGAGAGAATTCCTTTGTGACCGAGACAATGGTTGTGATATAAGAGCAAAAAACGGGAAAGTCGAGAAAAAGAACAAATTTGGGAAAAGGCGGGGTTCGGGTCACTCACGCGGAAAGTGAGGTACTTGTGGAGCATCCAGGTGGAGACGCTCACCTGAAATCCGATGCGTGAGCCTGGGCTCCGAGGAGAGGCCAAGGCCAGAGGCGCGTGAAATTTTGTTCTTGGTAGAAGGGGGCCAGCGTGGGACCAGAGGGAACCCGTTTTTTTGGATATGGGAAGGCAAAGCAGAGGGAGTGAAACTGTGCCTGCCTTGTTGACCCCCCCCCCCCCCGCCCCTATTGCTGTGATATTGGAGCCCCAGGGGGAGGACGAGCCAGCGCGGCCTTCCCCACCTGAGCAGCTCTCCCGGGGCCCAGGCTCTGCACAGGTGCCCCGACACAGAGAGCCCGGCCCTCGCCGCGGCCTTCGGGGTTAGAGCGCCCTTCGTCCTACCTGCTACCTGCTGCACAGCCCGGCGGACACCCGTGGGCCAGGGGCCGTGCAGGGCGGGGGCCTCCGTGGTGAGCACGACCTGCACCCTCTTCCCGAGCTGAGCTGAGGCCTGTGTGCACAGTCGGATGGGAAGCCCTCGGCGTAGTTCAAAGAACAATCGTCAAATGAGCCCCCACGTGAGAACCCCCCAAGCCGAGAAAAAAATATTGTCCGCCCCTTACGGGCCCTTGGAGACGCCGGCACAGTCCCTGCCGTGTCTCACAGGTGACAGATCCAGGATGATGGTGTGCGATACTCTCCCCTTGCTTTTTCTGTCTGACTTTCCCGCCCTTGTGTTCACCCCTTGACAAGAGGAATTTTGTCGGTTTGGGAACCCGCCACAAGTCACTTGTGCGTTGTGAATTCTGGTTTCTCTGCTGCTTCTGCCCAAAGGAACCTCCGCGAGGTCCGTCCCCCTTGATGCATGTGGCGGCAGAGGGGTCGCTTTACTGCCGCCGCGGCCCCGTTTGTGGAGCCGGCACCTCAGCTGACCGACCGCCCCGGACTGCCCGGCACACACTGAACTTGCAGCAGTTGCTGGGGCCGATTTGCTGATGGCACCGGGGCAGGGAGCCCGCAGGCGCAGCTGGAGAAGGATGTGCCCCCTCGGGAGGCGGCGCCCTGCCAGGGCTGGGGCCCACACGCGCTCGGCCCCGCCGCCCCTCCTCCGTCTGCCTGCGGCTCTGCCGTCACGGTCACGGGCAATCCGCGTTTCCATCTCCCCATAAAACTAATTCGGGATCCCTGGGTGGCGCAGCGGTTTGGCGCCTGCCTTTGGCCCAGGGCGCGATCCTGGAGACCCGGGATCGAGTCCCACGTCGGGCTCCTGGTGCATGGAGCCTGCTTCTCCCTCTGCCTGTGTCTCTGCCTCTCTCTCTCTCTATCATAAATAAATAAAAATTAAAAAAAAAAAAAAACTAATTCCCATTTCTGTGTCTGGTTCCAGAATGCCGAACTGGGGAGGAGGCAAGAAATGCGGCGTGTGCCAGAAGACGGTTTACTTTGCGGAAGAGGTTCAGTGTGAAGGCAGCAGCTTCCACAAATCCTGCTTCCTGTGCAGTGAGTGTGCGCCCAGGCCCTGCCCCGGTGGCCCCGGGATGGGCGCCTGCACCCCCCCCCCGCGGGCGGGGCCTGTCCACTCCGGGAGGGCCCCGCGGGATGTAAACAGCTTGACATTTGGCTGAAGCACAGCTGGGGAGGGCAAGGCTCGCAGGCCTCTTTGTTCCCTCAGAAGCTGCTTTCTAAGGGGAGGAACTGGCCAGGCTGGGGGGCGGTGGGGGGGGGGGTTCGGGGGCCGCAGCCAAGCACACAGACTTGCTCAGGGAAACTTTCCACTCGGCTTTCTCTTTCCCTCCCCCCACAATGCCATCATTGAAAAGGAGACTGCTTTGGGCCCAAAGTTTTACCCAGATTTGGACCCAAATGGTCATTTGTAAAAAGATGACAGAGGCTGCAACTTTATGGGGACACCGAGTCCAGCGAGAGCTGGGTCCCTTCCTCCCCCGCTCTCGGCCAGCCCGGGCTCTCCCCCCCACCTCCCACTTTGCTCCCACGGCTTGGGAGGAGAGTGAGGGGAGCCAGTGGGTCTGTGACCCAGAGTGGGAGCGGCTGGGCGCCGGCAGGTGGCCAGGGACCCCCCACCCCCCTGCCTCGAGGAGGTGCCCCTCCCCCATTTCTAGCCCAGCTCAGTCCCTGTGGGGTCCTGCAGGTGGGCCCAGGGGAAGGGCGGGCGGAGCGGGGCAGGGGTCGGCCCTGAGGGGTGCTGCTCCCCCCTGCTCCCCCCCAGTCTTCCCACGACGCCCGGGGCCAGCAACAGGTACCTCTGGGCGTGTGAGGATGGACAGGAAGCAGCGCGGAAAGCACAGAGCTGCGGCCACTGTGGACGTGCCATCAGCGATGCGCAGCCCCGCCCGGCCCCGCGCCCCTGTGAGCCTGGAGCAGGGGTCTTGTCGCCCCAGGTCACGGGAAGCCACACGCTTCATTCCCAGGTGGCCCGTGATCGGGGTGGGAGCCATGTGGGCCGAGGGCCACCTGGTCACTGGGCGTCCCTGGACCTGCACTGCTCTGGGTCACCCCACCGGCTGCCCCAGGGCTGCCCCTGAGCCCCGGTGGAAGGCGCCCCGCAGGGCCATGGGGCTGGAGCCCGCGTAGGGGGCGCGGCCAGTGGCCTCTTACCACCAGGTCACTGCCCTTGGGGATCTTCAAGCCGCTGCTTTCTCCGGGTGGTAGGAGGGGGAGCAAGAGGGCTCAGCGCTGGCTGGGAGGAGGGCCTGGGCCTGGGCGCCGGGGCCACAGGGCTCTGACTCTGCCCTCAGACGTTGCTTAATCACTGCCAGTGGCTGGCTGGGAGGCCTCAGCCCACTGGCCCCGGAGTAGCTGTCGGAGTAGCTGTTGTTGGGGTTGAGGGAAGGCAGGAATTCGGGGGGGGGGAATTTGGGGGGGTGGCGGCATGGGAAGAAGGGAGCGGGCCTGGAGCAGGGGGCGGGGGGGGGGTGGTGTGTGGAGGATTAGGAACAGTTGTGGAAAGTCAGGCCTGGGAGCAGGGCTGGGAGGGGGTGATGAAAGGATCAGCCGTAGGGAACAGCCTTGAGGCTCCCTGGGGTCCCCGGGCCAGCACAGGTCCTGGGTCGGAGGAGCTCAGAGGTCCCAGCAATCAGGTGTCCCCTCCACTCGCTTAGTCCTGGGGCCAGAGCAGCCTTGCCATGGAGCAGGCTGTGGATGATTTGTGTATGAATGGAAGGAGCATTGCTTCCCTCTTCCAGAGAAGTGGGGCGATAAGGGTCCAGCTTGAATTTAAAAATTCAGGATAACCCTGAGAATCAAAGGACTTTCCTTCCTAGGTTTCTTCTGTAGGCTCTTTCCTTCCCAGAGCTAGCAGAGTACGGGTGGCATTAGGGCCATGGCTCCTTGGCTGGCAGGGCCTCTGACCATTCGGGTCCCGGGCCGTGGCTTCCAGTCAGGGCACCTGCGCTCCCTTTCCTGTGGGCCTGGGACAGACAGGAGGAAGACAGGCTGATGTAAGAGTCCGGAGAGTGGCCTTGCCCTGGAAGCAGGGACAGCAGGGCCTGCAGCGAGGTCGTATGGTCTCAGTAGGGGTGGCCGGTCCCGTTAGCAGGCAGGAGAGCTCAGCCCTGGGGTCGGGGACCTGCCCGAGGCTGCATGCCCTGCTCCGAGCTGTGGCCAACTTCCTGCTGGGCAGGTCAGGGCCGAGGAAAAGCAGACCTGGCCTGGCCTGTTGGGGGTCGGCTACTGAGATCGGGCTGCTTTCCGGAACCCCAGGGCACAGGGGAAGCTCAGAGAAGCCCTGCCCACCCTCTGACACCAGCATCTCCGCGCCCACGGGCTGTCCACGTTCACCCTCCTGCTCCCACCTGCTTGGCCTACCTGCAAGGGACCTGAGGCAGGCGGAAAACAACCAGGTCTGGAAGTCAGGCTTCCTTCCGACCTGGCCCTGCTTCTGGCCCATTCTGCAAGCTTGAGCTTCTTTGTGGGCCTGGTTTTCCTTCTGGAGAGAGTCCCCCTCTGTTTCGGGGTGGGGTGAGGGGGCTCCGACCTCTCACCTGGGACTATCTCTTGCCCATATTTCCAAATAACACCAGAAGGCCTCACGGAGCCTGTGGTATCTACAAGGATAATTTTCCAACAAATGCATAACTAACCATAGCCCCCTCCTTTTTTTTTTTTTTTTTAATATTTTATTTATTTATTTGACAGTGAGAGAGCACAAGCCGGCGGAGCAACAGCAGAGGCAGAGGGAGGAACAGAAACCCCTGCTGAACAGGGAGCCCGACCTGGGGCTCGGTCCCAGGACCCTGGGATCATGACCTGAGCCAAAGACAGACCTTCACCGACTGAGCCACCCAGGCGCCCCCATGACTTTTTTTCTTTTTTTAATATTAACATTATGTGATAGAAATTTATTTAGGCCTTCATTCAAAATTCCCCTTAATTGAGTCTTTGGTAGCACCTCCAAGTGACTAGACTATATGACCCGGATGGAGGTGAAGGTGTTGAAGGTAGGCAGGTGGGCAGCAGGGCCTCGGGGAGAACAAAGCAGAGCAGAACCCGACACGGTGGTCTTGACACTGGATCTGGAAGTCAGGGTCCCCTTGGCGCTGCCGGGAGCCGCCTGGAGGTTGACGACGACGCGTAGACCCTGCCGTCTCCTCCGGGCCGAGCTCCCGGGTGTCCTCTGGCCTGATCAGTCAACAGAGACCTGTTCCCCCCACGGCTCCGTCCTTGCTTCCCGGCTTCCCTCTGGCTTTGGAATCCCCGGTTCATCTTGGGTCTTACGGGAAGCAATTCCAGGCCGACTCCTGACTTCCCGCCCTAGAAGGGAATGTTGGAACCCTTGGCCTGTTGATCTGGCTCCTTCCTTCCCGGGAGCTGAGCCCCAGGGGAGGTGGTGGGAGGTTCCTTATTTGGGCTGCCCAGAACACTGGAATGAGGTGAGGCTCCCCAGGGCAGGACCAGAGGGTCCTTATTTAGTCTGAAGTGTGCGACCTGGGGCTCCGGGTGAGAGGAGCTGCCAGAGGGCCGGGCCCTGCCAAGGCAAGAGGACAGCAAGTTGCAAGGAGCGGAGCTGAGAGCCTCCCAGGGGGAGGGGGAGGCGTGGCTTCTCTAGTGGTTTCTTGAGGGCTCCGTCTACAGAAGGACACGTTTGAGGATATGGCCCAGTTGGGCACCCGGAATCTCCATATATGAGGAATATCCTAGAACCCAACGAGCATTGTAGGATAAGACCCCAGCAAATAGTGAGGAGCGAGTCTCTTGAGAGAGGTAGGTGGAGGTTGGGAGCACATGATCCTTGGAGGCCTGGGCCTGTTCCTCCTCCCGTGTGGCCCCGATACTAACTGTACAGAATACTATTAAGAGTAGCCACCATTATTATGCAGCTACTGTATACAGGGTATTGTGCTAAGTACTTTGCATGTTAGATCTTCTTCAGTCCTCCTAACCACCCTCGGAGGTAGATGCTATTGTCTGCATTTACAGACTGAGGGGCGCCTGGCCGGCTCAGCTGGAGAGCACGCGGCTCCTGATCTCAGGGTTGTGAGTTCGCTCCCCACCGTGGGTGTAGAGATTATTTTTAAAAAATTAAAAGCAAAAATGCTCTCAAAAAGAATGAAATGGGGGTGCCTGGGTGGCTCAGCGGTGGAGCGTCTGCCCTCGGCTCAGGGCGTGACCCCGGGGTCCCGGGATCGAGTCCTGCACTGGGCTCCCTGCATGGAGCCTGCTTCTCCCTCTGCCTGGGTCTCTGCCCCTCTCTCTGTGACTCTCATGAGTAAATAAATAAATAAATAAATAAGAACCAAACGGACGCACGGAGGCTAGAAAATAACTCGTCCTGTCACACAGCAGGAAAGAGGGTTGGGATGTGACGCGGGCGGTCTGCAGGGACCGCAGGCTCCGAGCCGTGTCGCTCCCGATGGCCCAGCCCAGGCCCCGTCCGCCAAGCACAGGAACACACGAGGCCCGCGGGCTCTCAAGCTCTTCCCCTTCCAGTCGCTCGCACCCCGGACTCAGGAATTCTTCCCAGAGCCTGACCTCAGTTCTTCCTTTGGCAAACTGGTTCCTGAGATCGGAAACTGGGAACTTGTTGCGATTGGCCTGCATCCCACCTCAAGACCCACCACGCTGCGTGCTTACTAAATGTGAAACTTCTCTTTTCTTCTGGGTGCGCGCCCCCCCCCCCCGCCCTCCAGGCACCCAGGGATTGTTTCTTCAGGATTCCATTGCTGGAGGCAGGGAAACCTCGCCCTTCTTCCTTCCTTTCTTTTTCCTTCTCTCCTGTAAGGACACGTGGGGCTTTGTCAAGAGCAGATCGAAGGCCCCTGCAGGTTTCCTGTGGCTTGGGGTCAGCCTAGGCTGTCGCCTCTGGTGAACCCTGGGGTGCACCAGGCCCGAGGAGGTGTGAGGGTGCTGATGATGGAGGAAGGCACACGGGGCTCCTGCAAGAGGGGGCTGGGCCTGCATTCCTAGAATTAGGCCGTGCAAATCCCCCCCCCTCCTCCCAGCTCCTTGGCCACCTGACTTCCATTTCCACACCTGACTTCCATTTCCACGTTGCCCCTGAGAGGTCGGGATGTTCTCTCTCAGAGCCCCGGAGAGGTGAGCAGCCCCAGGGGCACCCCAGTGCCCGCTCACCGTCCTCACTTCCTCCCCAGTGGTCTGCAAGAAGAATCTGGACAGCACCACGGTGGCTGTGCACGGTGAGGAGATCTACTGCAAGTCCTGCTACGGCAAGAAGTACGGGCCCAAGGGCTATGGCTACGGGCAGGGCGCCGGCACGCTGAGCATGGACAAGGGGGAGTCTCTGGGCATCAAGCACGAGGAGTGAGTACAAGAGTCTTGCCGTCCGCCTTCCGTGAGTTCTCTCCTCCCACCCCCGTGTCGCACACAGTTTCAACTCCTGGTTAGGCAGTGGAGGGCTCAGAAAGCCACTGGTTTCCAGGGTAGTCCTAGAGCACCCCCGGGGTGTCAGAGCCAAGGGTCCAGCGGGGGAAAAAAGAGGCAAGGCTCCTCCCTGTGTGGAGGGCGCAGCCTGTATTTTCACAGGGGTTAGAGCGTGGAGGGGCCCCAAGAATTCCTCGGTGCGCGGTCTTCTTTGCTCAGATGAGAAACCCCAGCCCAGGCTCAGTCGGTGGCTTGGCCGCGGGTCCCACGGCCAGTGTCTGAGCCAGAGCTGGGCTCAGAAGTAGCAGCGCTCTTGCTAGAGCGGCCTCTGTCTCCCCATCTCTCACCCGCGCTATAGGGAAGCCACCTCCCTTCCTTGGAAATGCTGCAGCCTGTCACTGGCACCCACTGGCCTCTGACCTGTTGAAACAGTGGCTGTTGGCAGTCGGCCCGGCCAGCATCTTGACCTTGGGTGGGGAATGGACAGAAATGACAGAGGAGTTAGCATGTTTTAGCCAAGTTCATTGCCCCGGAGGGAATGATTTGTCAGCAGATTTTCCCCGGAAAGAACTTGATAATAGGCTGCAGGAACGGGGAACAGAGGAGGGCGATTCTTAGCACATGAGCTGCCAGCTGTGTTTTAGCTCCGTGGCGGAGGGCAGTCGGATGCTTCGGTGAAAACAGCATTGTGCTGAGCCTCGGTTTGTCCATCTGCAAAATGGCAGATGACCCTGGAGACCCTTCCCTGGTGTGACATGAAGGCGGGGTCATGCCCACACAGAGCCAGCCCCGCCTGAACCCCTCGGCGAAAGTCCTCTCACCACACGTCCTTTCCCACGCAGGACCCTTGGCCACAGGCCCACCACCAACCCCAATGCCTCCAAGTTTGCACAAAAGATCGGTGGCTCCGAGCGCTGCCCCCGCTGCAGCCAGGCAGTCTATGCCGCTGAGAAGGTGATTGGTGCTGGGAAGGTAAGGTGGCTTCTGGGGAGCTGAGCTGATGAGACGCTTTCTTGAAATGGGGATCCTAGAACTTTGTAAGTTGGACCCTGGCTGCGCTCAAGGGAGCCCCAGCACTGACTGGGCTTCAACTCCCTCCCTTCTAGGGAAGGGGTAACCCTCCAACCTTATGGACTGCTTGTCCCTGTGCCTTCCAGTCTGCAAGGACTGAGGAAGGCACACACAGGCTCCTGGGACAGGTGGCTTGACTGGCGTTATTCATGAGGATAATAGGCTCGCCCTTGACGGAACTTATTGTTTTTTTTTTAATTTTTATTTATTTATGATAGTCACAGAGAGAGAGATAGAGAGACATAGGCAGAGAGAGAAGCAGGCTCCATGCACCGGGAGCCCGATGTGGGATTCGATCCCGGGTCTCCAGGATCGTGCCCTGGGCCAAAGGCAGGCGCCAAACCGCTGCGGCACCCAGGGATCCCCCTTGATGGAACTTATTATTAAATGCTTATTGCAATTTACAGGGAGTTGTAAAGATCAGTCTGATGGGTCTCAAAGGAGCTACAAGCCCCCTAAAAGCATATGCAAAATTTTGTGGGAACATGTCTCTTTCTGGGAAGAAGATCCACAGTTTTCATCAGATTTTCTTTCTTTCTTTCTAAAAAGATTTTATTATTATTATTATTATTTTTAAAGATTTTATTATTTACTTGAGAGACAGAGAGAGCATGAGCAGGAGGGGGGCAGAGAGAGAGGCAGGCTCCCCACTGGGTTGAGCAGGGAGCCCAACATGGGACTTGATCCCAGGACCCTGAGATCATGACCTGAGCTGACTTACCCGACTGAGCCACCCAAGTGCCCCATCATCAGATTTTCAAAAGGATTTGTGATTCCCCAAAATGTTAAGAGCCACTGGAAAATCCACATCCATTCGATATCCTAAGACATGGACCCGGGAAACCCATCCAGGTACCCCCAGGGCAGAGATTTTCAAGGTTCAGGGCTGACCAGAGCCTCTTGAGAAGCTTCTGCAAACTATTTCTACTGCCACGTATGCCTCTCCCCTGTGGACCCCCAACCCCCAGAGCACAGTAAGAATCACTGTAGTGAACCCCTGTCCCCATGAGACAGTCCCACCTCCCTCTGGGGCTGCAGCGGAGAAGAGGCAGGAGAACTGGCAGTCAGGGAATCCCAGAAGAGGCCTCCTCAGGATATGGTCAGAGGGCTCCTGGGTCACCACAGGAGGCCCAGACGGAGGAGTGACTCGGCCAAGGTCACAGAGCAAGCGTCTGGAACAGCTGGGCCAAGAGTCTGCCTGCAGCTCTTCTGGCTTTGGGTCTTGGCTTTCAAGTCTTTTCCACCTCGAGGAAGGGCCCTGGGACCGACGGACGGGGAGCTGAACGTAGGCACAGCATCTAGACCATAGCAGGCTCTCATTTTAACCTGGACAGTCACGGTTGGAGACAAGGTATTATTATCCCCTTTTACCGACGAAGCAGCTGAGCAGTGGCGAGGCGAGGAGTCCAGCCCTTCAGCCGGAAGCCCGGGCTCTTAGGCTGTTAACTCTGCTCTGGGCCACTTAACCTCTTTGAACCCATCTCCACAGCCGTACAACGGGAAACGGGAGCCCATTTCCATAGTGTCGCGAATCCTCGCAGGATGATTAAGACCCTGCACCCTAGGGGTACCTGGCTGGCTCAGTCGGGTAGGCCTTTGACTTGTGGTTTCAGCTCGGGTCGTGGTCTCCCGATGGATCCATGCATCATGCATCTGGCTCCAAGCTCAGCAGGGCGTCAGCTTGGGAGCCTCCCTCTCCCTCCCTCTCCCTCTCCCTCTCCCTCTCCCTCTCTCCCTCTCCCTCCTCCCTCTCCCTCTCCCCTCCGCCCCTCCCCCTGCTCCTGTGCACACACGCTCTCTCTCTCTTTCTCTCTCAAATAAATAAAATCTTGAAAATGACTATTAAAAAAAAAGGGAAAGACCTTGGACCCTAGTCAATGCGGTCTGAAACCTAGTTTTGCCGCTTACTAGTTGTGTGGCTTTGGGCAGATCGTTTAACCTTTGTAGACCTCGAGCTGCATCTGTAAAGCAAAGCAAAGGACGTCCCAGACAAAGTTATTTTACGAATTAAAGGACATCCGGCATGCAGTGCCCCCTGCAGTGCCCGGGGTGTGCTCGGGACACGCCAGCCATTGCTGTTACTGTTCTTGTGTCCTTGGGGGGCGGGGATTGTTGTGAGGTCGGAGTGAAGATCCTTGCTATGGATTGAGGGATATGAAAACAGCAGATATTAGTCTTATTATGCAGTCGGTATCTTTTCCGTTCATAGCGTCTCACTAGGAGATTCAAGAATTATAAAAAGTAGCTAAGAATCAACATGTCCATTACCTAGACAGGGTCTGAGCTGAGGCTGGGACTTCTAAGGGGTGGGGATAAGAGAAGTTTTGTGCTCAAGCAGAAAAGTTTGAGAGAAGCTCCTACCTCTCTTTGACCTTGGCCAGGAAAGAAGTCTCGAGGAACGGGAGTACTTGTGGGTGCTGACCGAAGGAGCAAAGGGACCCAGCTTATTTGGAGGGTGGGCGAGGCGATGTGCGTGGTGGGTGGTGCTCTGCATGCGCCTCAGCCCCGCTCCAGCCTGGAGAGCCTGCCCCAGAGGAGGAGGTGAAGGCTGGGTGGCTGCAGAGGCGTGTGGGATGCTGGGAGGGAGGCCAGGGTCGGGGCGCCCCCATCTCAGCTCTCTGGACCCCGTTGTCCCAGAGGCCTGGGAGGGTGGGGGGGGGGAGCCAGCATGCACGGGTCTGGCGGGTCTGGCAGCCGGGAAGTCCGAGGGGATCCGGTTTCCTTTCTCATTCTCCAGCCCAGGCTGCTGGAGGGAGTCTCTTTGACCTTAAAAGGCCTTGTTTTGTCCTGCCTGCCCGCCGCCTGCCCCTGGCTTTCCGGGTTTGCAGAGCTGTCCACACAGCAGCGCCTGGGCCGGCTCAGCTGCTGCTCGTGGGAGCGGGGTGCTGAGAAGTCTTCCTGTCCACGCTGGCTCCCGTCGCGTGTGCAAGCCTGGGCAGCCTCGCAGCCCTGCTTGCTCCCAGGCCCCTCAGAGCCACGAAGGGCCTTCCGTGGGCCCTGGAGAAGCGCACTCCTCAGGCCTTTCCCTGCTGACTTCAGTGCACCTCGCCGACCCCTTCTCCTTCAGACTAATACTCCACACGACTGGCTCAGGGCGTCGTCTGGGCCAGGCCTGCGGCCGGCCGGGGACTCTGCTAAGGCCCTCTAATCCTCTCAGCCGCCTAGCCTAGCGGGAGATACCAGCAGCCCACCCTCCAAGAAGGAATGGCTTCTGGGCAAACAAGGCACCCAGTTCTGGAACGTCAGGGGCCAGGCTGGTCAGAGGAACCCCAGTTACAACAGCCTGCACCACGGCCACGCTCCGTCCCCGTCTCACGGGCAGTTCTGGCGACATTCTCCATTCTCCAAGGCGCGCGGGGGTGGGGGGTTCCCAGAGGAGGAGGTTGCAGAGGCGGTGCAGCTAGTAGGTGGTGGCGCCTGGACGAGCCCCAAGCCCACGCCCACACCACTAATCCACAGCAGGATGGGTCTGGAGGGGGCGGGCCTGGCCCTGCCGGTGCGGGTGCGGGTGCGGGTGCCTGTGCGGGTGCGCGGTGGGTGGGATGACGGCTACCTTAGTAGCGATCCCACCCCCTCGCCTGCCCTTGTGGTACAGCCGGTGCCACTCACCATCCAGCCACTGCAACACCTCCTTGAAGATGGAATGAGGTGGTGTGTGGTCCCTGGCCGCTTCCTCCGCTGCTGGCCTCACGGGCCGCGTCCTTCCAGCGGCACCGGCTGAGTGGACTTCAGAAGCGTCTTGAACCCTGCTGCTGTCGTTGTGTCGAGGGCAATGGGGCTGTGGGGTAAGGGACCCCCTAGTCCCTGGTGGCAGCCTTAACTGTTTCCTTCCCTACCCAGTCCTGGCATAAGTCCTGCTTCCGCTGCGCCAAGTGTGGCAAAGGCCTCGAGTCCACCACCCTGGCTGACAAGGACGGCGAGATTTACTGCAAAGGTGGGTGGTTTCACGGCTAATGCCAGGGTCCAGAGGCCTGAGAGGGTAGGGGCGTAACCAGTTATGCCTTCGCTAAATGTGAACCAATCCCTGGCCTCAGGGTCAGTTCCAGAGCTCCTAGTAGGACCCTTCACTTTACAGATGGGGAGACAAGCCCGGAGGGAAAAAGCGATGAAGCCAGAATCATCTGGCAAATACGGGCAAGAGAGAGGGCCAGAACCTGGGTCCCCAACTCCTGGTCCGATGCCCTTACGGCAGATAGCGCTGCTGTGGTTTCAGCAGGGGGGAAATGGCTGTCATGTGGAGCCAAGAACTTCCTCACCACCGGGGCTCGGGGTGCTCGGAGGCGAGGGCGCTGGTGGATGAGGCCTGGCCAGGCGCCCGGGCGGAGGATCTCTGGGGGCAGGGCTGAGAGGAGTGGCCTGGGGCAGGAGCCAGGCCTCACCCCCCTCTCTCTGCAGGATGCTACGCGAAGAACTTCGGACCCAAGGGCTTTGGCTTTGGGCAAGGAGCCGGGGCTCTGGTCCACTCTGAGTGAGGCCGCCGCCGTCCACCACACGCTGCCCACTCCTGTGCTTCTCATTGCCGTTCCCTTCCCAGCAGCCTTGGCGACCTCCAGGATTCCTCCTCCCTCTCTCAGCCCCGCCACACATCACTAATGACTTGAACTTGGGTGTCTGGCTCCCTTTGGTTTGGAGTCTGCCTGAGGTTCCCCCCCACACACAAGGGGCTCCCTCTGCCTGGGTTCTGACACCGTCCCCAGCAGGAGACCTCAGGGTTCTAGTGTAGGTGGGACCAGGCCCCGTCCCCACGCCTCGCCCCATAATCCTCTGTTCTTAGCCTGTTAGGCTGAGTGTGCATCATCGACCCGCCAAGATCCCTGAGCCCACATCTCGGATCCCAGAGGAGCAGTAGGCCCAGTGGGGAGGGAAGCAGGGTCAAGACTGTAGTTTACCGGACCGGAGACCTCCTCTGGGGTGAGAGGGTGGGCTTCCTGGTGTCTCAGAACCGGCCTGGGGAGTCCCAGCTCGAGGAGTCACTGTGGATGCAGAAAGGCATACAGACAGGGTCGTGGCCTAGAGGAGCCACTTCTCTGGGCCTCTTGCCTCTGAGGCTCTGGGGACCTGCTACCCCCCACCGCGGGGTGAGGAAAACAACGCGGGTCTGAGAACCCAGAGTCAGGATGTGGTCTGACCTCCCCCAGGCATCTAGTTCCCTGTTTGATGGCAGCCGAGGAAGCCTCCCGACACGCTCTCAGTTATCAGTGGCCCGAATCAGAGGCTGAACAGCTCTGCCCACCCCCGGGTGCCGAGGCCGTGGTGTCCCAGCACGGACCAGGCCACAGTGCTCTGTGCTTAGCGCTCCTGCTGGATTGACCCTCCGACGCGGAGGGAGGCACACACAGCCTCAGTCTTCCTCTGGAACCCCCTTCCCTGTGTGCCCGGTCCTCACGACCCACCTGCCCACTCGGGGCCTTGCCCCTTCCACCCCACCCTTCTCCAGGGACCCTTCTCTGGCCACATCACCCCCATCCCTTCCAGGCCCCAGGTCGGGAGCAGCAGGAGGAAGGGGAGGGGCTGGGCCTCGCTGCTCCCAGCGGTTGACAGGACAACGCTGTGTGGAGCTGTCGCCTGGAAGGGCTGCCGGCATGAGCTGTGTTCAAGCTGACTTCTCATCTGGTCAATAAAGCTCTTAGAACAGAACTCTGGCATCCTGAGCCCGTGTCTGAGAGAGTACTGCGCCCCCGGGCTGGGAGGGAACCTCCCCAGCCATCAAGCAGCCAAATATGGTTGGTTCCTGTTTTTCTTAGGGCTGCTCACTTTCTAGCATCTGCTCCTAGGGACCCACGCTGCCTGGAAGGGCCCGGCCAGCCCAATCCTGCTGCTTTGCCCTTGCCCTGTCTGGCAGCCCCCACCCCCCGCCTGGGTGTGAACACTACATGGGCTTTGGCATCGCAGGGTCGGAGGGACTCAGCCAGGCCCCAGAGCTGTGCTCAGAACGTCTTCCAGCTTGGAAAACCCCGGAATGGGAGGGAAGCTCGGCCAGAGGAACTTTCAAGTCAAATCCAGAAAGTTTACTTCCTCCCAGGAGGGGTGGATGGAGTGGCCCAGCTCAGCGCGCTGCATGGTGGGGGGGGGGGGGGGGCTGGCCTAGTCTCTTCTGGCGGCTAAAACAAAACACCGTAGACTGGGCGGCTTATAAACAGCAGAAGTGTATTTCTCATCGTTCTGGAGGCCTCGATCCAGGCACTGGATTTGGTGTCTGGTGAGGGCCTGCTTCCTGGTTCCTAGACAGCCACGGTTCTGCTGTGTCTTCACATGGAGGAAGGGACGAGGAAGCGCCCTGGGCCTCAATTCCATGCAGGAAGTCGCCAACCTTATGGCCTAATCATCTTCCAGGAGCCCATCTCCTAATGCCATCGCAATGGGGATTAGGTTTCAACATAAAGGGGCGGGGGGTGGGGGGGGGTGGGGGGGGTGGAGCTCAGTGGTAGAGCGTCTGCCTTCGCTCAGGGTGTGTGACCCTGGGGTCCCGGGATCCAGTTCCCTGTCAGGCTCCCTGCATGGAGCCTGCTTCTCCCTCTGCCTGTGTCTCTGCCTCTCTCTCTCTCTCTGTCTCATGAATAAATAAAATATTTTAAAAGCTTCAACATATAAATTTAGGGGGGGACACAAACATTCCATTCTGCCCCTGAATCCCAAAATTAATGTGCTTTTCACAGGCAAAATATATCCATTTCATCCCAATTGCCCCAAAAGTCTCACCTCGTTCCAGCATCAACTTTAAGCCCAAAGCTTGGCTTGTCGTCACCTGCAGAGGATACGGAGACTCCAAGTGTGACTCATTTGCAGGCAAATTCTCTCCCCAGCTGTGAAACTGCAAGAAACAAGTTCTGTGCTTCTGAAATAGGATTGTGGGACACACCTAGGATAGACATTTCCTTTTTTAAAAAAAGCATTTTATTTTTTAAAAGTACTCCAGGGGCGCCTGGGTGGCTCAGTCGGTTAAGCATCAGCCTTTGGGTCCGGTCATAGTCTCAGGGTCCTGGGATCGAGTCCCAGAGTCCCAGCTCCTTGCTCAGCGGAGAGCCTGCTTCTCCCTCTGCCCCCATGCCCAGCTCATGCTTCTCTCTCCTCTCTCTCTCTCAAATAAATAAAATCTTAAAGAAATAAAAGTAACCGCTACACCCAACATGGGGCTCGAACTTAGAACCCCAAGATCAAGAGCTGCACTCTCTACCGACTGAGCCAGCCAGGTGCCCCAGAGAGACCTTGCCGTTCTAAAAGGGAGAAATAGGGATCCCTGGGTGGCGCAGCGGTTTAGCGCCTGCATTTGGCCCAGGGCGCGATCCTGGAGACCCGGGATCGAATCCCACGTCAGGCTCCCGGTGCATGGAGCCTGCTTCTCCCTCTGCCTATGTCTCTGCCTCTCTCTCTCTCTCTCTCTCTCTGACTATCATAAATAAATAAAAATTAAAAAAAAAATAAAAGGGAGAAATAGGAGAGAAAATAGGAGTGATGGGCCCCAAGCAAGTCCAAAACCTGATGAGGCAAAGTCCCTGAGACTTTAAAGCCTGAGAATAATCCTTTGTCTTCTGGACCCACTGGGGCAGCAACGTCACCCCCACGGCCCAGCAGGGTGCTGCTGCTGCCCTGACTCTCTGCCAGGGCCCCACCCAGTGACGACTCCTGGTGGCCCCATTGTTTAAAACCGAGGAGGAAGAAGCCATGGCCCCGAGCCCCTGTACTGGGGCCTGCGACGGAAGTGGCAGCTTTAATGATCCCTGAATCACCTTCTGGGTCATTTTCCCATTGCCTTCGAGAGTAGCACTTGCTCCGGTGACATGGTGGACCTGTGCTAATCCTGTGCTAAAGAAGACTACGGCCCATAATGTTTTCATTTTTTGCCCTACGGGCAGGCTGAGATTTTTTTCCAAATCTTCAAGCTCGGCTTCCATTTTTGCTCAAGAATTCCATCCTTTAGTCTTTTCTCTCTTCTTGCATTTTACCATAAGCACTCGGGAGGGAAGAGCCACGGGTACCTTCAACACTTTGCTTAGAGATCGGCTCAGCTAAATATCCAACTTTTTTTTTTTTTTAAATATCCGACTTTGTTGTTCACAAGTTCTACCTTCCACAACACATTAGAAGAAGAACACAATGAGGATCACCTTTTGTCCAGGTTCCAGTAACACGTGTCTCATTTGTTATCAGGATGGCCTTTACTATCATCCATGTTTCTACCAAGATTCTTTTTTTTTTTAATTTTTTTTTTTTTTTTATGATAGTCACGGAGAGAGAGAGAGAAGCAGAGACACAGGCAGAGGGAGAAGCAGGCTCCATGCACCGGGAGCCCGACGTGGGATTCGATCCCGGGTCTCCAGGATCACGCCCTGGGCCAAAGGCAGGCGCCAAACCGCTGCGCCACCCAGGGATCCCAAGATTCTTTTTTTTTTTTTTTTTAAAGATTTTTATTTATTAATTCATGAGAGACACAGAGAGAGAGATTGAGAGGCAGAGACACACACAGGCAGAGGGAGGAGCAGGCTGCATGCAGGGACCTGATCCGGTCTCCAGGATCACGCCCCAGCCTGAAAGTGGCGCTAAACTGCTGAGCCACCTGGGCTGCCCTCGACCAACATCCTGTTCAAAATTAGTCATTATCCTCAGAGATAACCGGGGCTTTCTCCAGCTCTCCTTTCCTCTTTTTGAGCTCTCACGAAACTGTCCTTTAAAGGTCCCTTCACAGCAGTGTAGGTGTTTTCCTAGCAGACATTTCAGAACCCTTGCTGGCCTCTTCCCTTCACCCAGTTTCAAAGCCACTTCTATATATTTTAGGCATTTGTTCCAGAAGCACTCCACTTCTTGGTACCGGTTTCTGTGGCCGGTTTCTGTTTTCATCAGTTCAGGCTGCTACAACAAAATATCATAAATTAGGTGGCGTCTAAGCAACCGAAATGTATTTCTTGTAGTTCTGGAGGCTGGAAAGTCCAAGATCGAGGTGGGGCAGGTTGAGGGTCTGGTGAGAGCCCACTCTGTGGTTCATGGCCATCTTTCTGCAGGGTCTGCGGGAGGTGGAAAGGCGGAGGGAGCTCCCAGGCTTCTTTTACCTGGCACTGGCCCCTTCCTGAAGGCTCCACCCTCATGACCGAACCCCCTCCACAGGATCCACCCCCTAAGACCCTCTCCCCTTGTGGGGTAGGATTTCCACTTAGGAATTTTGAGGGGGACACAGGTATTTAGTCTGTGGCCGGCCCCCGCAGCCTGCCCGGTGGAAGGTTGAGCTTATTAGAAAATGGGTTCATCTGGGGGTTTGCAACATCCTTCCTCTGGGGATGCCTGCCTGATGTTTGGGGCCTGGGCGTCTCTGCCCACACCGTGAATTTACACAACAGCCAGAAGCAGATGCTCTAACTGCAGCAGGCCTTGCGTGCATAACGTCCAGGTGACCAGACACCACAGGGCCCTGGGCAGATGCCTCTCCTTGACTCTGCCTGCAAAGGGGCCTAAGCACACAGAAGACCAATCAGAGGAGCGGAACACCAGGCAGGTGCAAGGTGGCAGGTAGGAGGGCTGGAGGAGAATGCTGCCCAGGGCTGAGGCCCCGCGTGGGGCCGGGGCTCCATCCTGACGACTGGGTCCCCGCGGGGTAGGGCCAACAGAGGCTCTCCGGGAAGGCTTTGTGTGCGGAGGGTGGAGGGACCCGAGCCTTTAGGGCCCAAATCTGGAGACCGGCTGCCCCCTGCTGGCTGCTGGGCCGGGTGCTTGGCACCCCCGCGCGAGGTCCCTCCCGAGCCGCCTCCCAGACGCCCGCCCTGGAGCTCCCGGGCCGCGGAGACCCCCGTGGGGACCAGTAAAGGCGGTGGGCGGGGAGGGGGTGGGCGGCCCGGAGGGAAGCACGCTCTGGACAGGCGGGGTGTAGGGGGGAGGGGGCCTGGGGGGGCCTGGGGGTCTCGGAGGGGAGGAGGTCTGGGGGGAGGAGGCCTCGGAGGGGAGGGGGCCTGGGGGTCTCAGAGGGCAGGAGGCCTCGGAGGGCAGGAGGTCTGGGAGGGAGGGGGGCCTCGGAGGGGAGGGGGTCTTGTGGGGAGGGGGGCTGCGGGGGGGAGGGGTTCTAGAGGTGGGGGGTCTCGGAGGGGAGGGGGTCTTGGATGGGAGGGGTCTCGGAGGGGCGGGCATCTCGGAGAGGAGGGGGTCTGGGGGAAGGGGCCTGGGGGGGAGGGGGTCCTCGGGGTGGGGGGTCTCGGAGGGAACGGGGGTCTTGGAGGGGAGGGGGGTCTCGGAGGGGAGGGGGTCTGAGGGGGAGAGGAAGGGGTCATGGGGGGGCCTGGGGGTCTCGGAGGGGAGGGGGTCTGAGGGGGAAGGGGTCATGGGGGGGCCTGGGGGTCTCGGAGGGGAGGGGGACCTCGGAGGGGAGGGGGTCTCGGAGGGGAGGGGGCCTGAGGGGGAAGGGGTCATGGGGGGGCCTGGGGGTCTCAGAGGGGAGGGGGTCTGAGGGGGAAGGGGTCATGGGGGGCCTGGGGGTCTCGGAGGGGAGGGGGACCTCGGAGGGGAGGGGGTCTCGGAGGGGCGGGCATCTCGGAGAGGAGGGGGTCTGGGAGGAAGGGGCCTGGCGGGAGAGGGGGTTCTCGGGGTGGGGGGAAGGGGTCTCGAAGGGGAGGGGGTTTTCGGCCTCGGAGGGGAGGAGGTCTTGGGGGGGATAGGGG